ATGTGTCATTTGGGGTGGTCCAAAGATTATTTTGGGGTGCGGCCTGGCCCCAGTGCCTGCCAGTGTGACTGACCTGGGGGCAGCGCGCTTTGGAGCAGCTGGCACCAGAACCGCGCTTTGGACCAGCACACCGCATATGTCCCCTCGAAGGGGAGAGTCCAGTGAATGTGGGGGTGTATGAGGTGTGGTGGTCCAGACCTCATTTTCGGTGCAGGGGCCACTTCCTTATTCAAATTTGAAATACAGGCCTCGGGGGAAAGCCTGCAAACTGAAGCTGGTGCAGCAGAAGCTCGTGGCATCAGAACCGGTGTTTGGACCGGGCATCTCTGCGTGTCACCTTGCAGGGCCCAGTCCCCAGAGCGTGGGGATGTGTTGTTTGGGGTGGTCCAAAGATTATTTTGGGGTGCGGCCTGGCCCCAGTGCCTGCCAGTGTGACTGTCCTGGGGGCAGCGCGCTTTGGAGCAGCTGGCACCAGAACCACGCTTTGGACCAGCACACCGCATATGTCCCCTCGAAGGGGAGAGTCCTGTGAATGTGGGGGTATATGATATGTGGTGGTCCAGACCTTATTTTGGGGTTCAGAGCTTTCTAACTCACTCTCTCTAGTGTTTCTGAATGACTACACGAATAATTAACGAATAAGGAATGAATAAGGAAGTGCGAATAAGGAACCAACTTCAGCCTCCTCAGTTTTGCCTTCCTTCTCATCTGTCTTTCACCTTCCTTTGTCTGTGCCCCCCCCCCCAACCAAGGCTTGGAAGTCTCAGCAATGTTGGTTGGGTATCGCTTGCTTCTCTGTAGCTTTTGGTGCAACTTAAAACCTGTTTTGCACTTAGCTGTCCTGTTGAACACAGGAAAACCCATGAGTAGACATGTAGGATGGCACCAGGGCTGCTTAACACCTCCAGAACTCTAGTTTAGGACTGTTACAAGCTGCCTTCTATGGTACTCTTCCACTATGCTCAAAAACAACTTCCCACCCACCTTTTTTTTTTTTGCTGTGTATTATCACTGTCATCTGAAGAAGCATTCACAGAAACCCTGAAGATTACTCATTACTTTGTGATTCTTTAGTTTGGTCTAATGAAAAAGTTTACACTGCTGCTGTTTTTGTATAACTTCTACAAGTTATCCCACAAGCATGCACAGAAGGAAAACTTGTGTTAGGATGGGCTGGGTTCCCCTTGAGTGTCATCATGAAAGGGCAGTATCACCCCGGAAATGATACAGACCTGGAACACTGGGGGACATCTCTGCTGCACCTGAAGTTAACCTATAGGATAAGAGCCAGTAATCTGAATGGGTGTGTGGCAGCTTTAAATTCTCCTAATGGATTACTTACAAGGTGTAATTGGCAGATGGAGTTGCCATTTCCTAGCTGAAGCTAAAGATTTGATCTGTCTGTTAGAAAATAGAGAAATATCTGCTGCTTTTCCAGAAACCTGCTTGAGGCGTCTTGCAACTGAAACAATAAAACAAAACCATTACAATGTAACCATCTATATGTATCACTAGCCTGATACCTGTGCTTCGCTACGGTATTTAAGTTCCGTAAATCCAGTTATAATACTGATGATGTGAAGTCTGAAATGTAACATTTGTTGTAGGAATTCTAATGGAGAAGATTGCAATGTAAAAAAAATGAAGTGAGGCATACGTAGGTTTCCCCCACACACACTGAAGGACCTCTCTGTAGACCACATTGGTGGTTCTGTTCTCAGGTGCTAGGATCACCAGGGGGAAAATAATGGTGCAAAGGAGGAAACCTTTGCCTGCTTTACCAGTGGGGAAGGCAATAATAACAATAACAACAACAACAACAACAACAATAATATAAAAGCAGCTTACGATTGCCTTTCCCTTCCTCTCCCCACAACAGGCGCCTTGTGAGGTAGGTGGGGCTGAGAGAGCTCTGAGAGAACTGTGACTGGCTCAAGGTCACCCAGCTGGCTTCATGTGTAGGAGGAGAGGGGAATCTGCTGCTCTTAACCAATAGCTAGAAAGAGAAAGTGTCAGGTGACTCACAATGAAGTGGGGAATAATAACAGATCTTTGACTTTGAGCAAGGTAAGCAGTTAGCAGTTTGCCATGCCATTGTTGACAGAAGTACTTGTGGGCTGAGTTATGGTGAAACAAGAGAAAACAGCTACCGGAGCATGAGCTTCTGGGAATATGAATCAAGAAGCCTTTATTCTGCATAGACAGAAAATGCCTTCCCTTTGCCAAGGTTTAAATTGGAATCACTCTTGAAATATATCAGCAATTATGGACAGGCCTCTCACCTAAAGAAATATAGGGAACTGCAAAACTCTTAAGCTACTTTTATGGCTGCAAATACGTTCCAAACAACTTTCCAGCCTGGATAATTACATTTCACTTTCTGCCTCAAGTCCCCAAGGTCAGGAAGCTCTAGAACTCAGCTTACCACACTTGGCTAGTGGTGTTCTGCTTTCACACAGAAAGGCAGCATGTTATGATTTTGTTTCTTGAGAATCTTAAAGTTCCTTTTTGAGAGAGAGAGAGAGAGAGAGAGAGAGAGAGAGAGAGAGAGAGAGAGATATGCTTCTAACTCTCATGACTGGAGCACAAAGTTTAAAAGATCATGCATTCACTGAAGGCTGCAGTCTGGGGCCAAGGTGGTATAGTTACAAGAGGTATTCACAAAAGTGCCACTGGACTACGACTCTTGGCTGAACTGATTATGGCAACTTTGGCTGGAACTATGAAACGGCAGGGCCAAATGGCCATGAAATTAATCTCCTCAGAACTGATTCCATATACTTGCAAGGGATGAATGTGGTACACGTGTCTGTAGGTTCAGTTTTTTCAGGAACTTTCCTCAGTTTTCCTATATTGGTACTCAGACAGTATGTCACAAGGATATGTTGGGGGAAAGGCCTGTGGCTCAGTGACACAGAACATACCTTACATGCATAAGTTCCCAAGTTAGTAGGGTTGGGAAATACCTGGAGGTTTTGGGGGTGGAGCCCGGGGATGGCAGAAATTGGGGAGGGACCTCAGCAGGGTATAATGCCATAGAGTCCAGCCTCTGAAGCAGCCATTTCTCCCAGGTCATCTGGAGATTAACTGTAATAGCGGGAGATCTCTAAGTGCCACCTGGAGTTTGGCAACCCTGCCAGTTAGAAGGGTCTCAGGTAGCAAGTGCTGAGAAGGGACTTTCTGTGCTTAAAATCTCAAAAAGCCACTACCAATCAGAGCAGAGAGTTCTGAGCTAGATGCCCCCAATGCTGAACTGGAAGGACTATAGACTGACTGGATATAACACAACTCCATATGTTCATATGACTGCTGTCCATATGCTATTATCCGGTGTGAACGTTAAATGCTATATAAAGATGAATAATTTCATTTTTCTTTCAGATTCTTTATCATCAAAGAGAGTTTTTTGCTTTACTATGCTGAGGGAGAAAAGAAGAACTTTGAAAACAATCGATACTTTAATATACACCCAAAAGTAAGCAGTACCTACAAAAAAACTCTGGTGGTATACTATCTTGTCAACATCTGGAGCTATGAACTTGAATTCCTGAGGGCTCTTTCATCTGACATATTTTTACTAATTATGTTACCAGACTTCAGAAAACATATTTGCCAGTTTGTTTTAGTGTTGTCTGTTAAAATACAAACAAACAAGAGGTGTCATCCTTTCCTAATGACTGCAAATATCTGGTTATCATGGAAACAAGATACTTAAATTTTCCTTATGTTAGTAAAGTATAGATGTATTTTATTAATCGTGGGAAGTGCAACATCCTTTGTACAGAGTATACCAGTGCTTCAGAGCTAGAGTTGCTGCAAACTTCTGTTGGTGGTGCTGGGCATCATCTAGGGTTGCCAGGTCTTCTGGTATAGTGGGAGACCTCTGCTTACTAGTGTTCAGTTGGGTGGACTGGCAGGAGAGGCAGTCCTGACAGGTCAGGGAGGAAGGCTGGTGGCTTGGAATGATGGGGGGGGGGGAGGTTGAACACCAGCAGTTCTGAGTGGGGGGAATGGTGAAGACCCTGAGCAGTCTTCAGGGGTGGGAAAAGACCTGCCCCAGCAACGGCGACTGGTGGGCAGAGACAGGGCCTGACCCTGCCTGATCATGCTGAGGCAGGGCGAGAGCAGCCTTGACAGATGCGATGACTTCACTTCCGTGTGACATCAGCGTGCGGGGGCGGGGTTCCCCCCACTGGCCAGCTGGCTGGCAGCAGATAGAAGCCCCAAAAACTGAGGGATCCCCTGCCAGGACCTGGGGAATGGCAACCCTATGTATTACAGTACTCAAAGTAGCTTACAAACCACAATCTGAAATTGAAATACATTAAGATATCATCAGCTAATAATTATAATAGACCCCAATATGCTCCATTTCTTTCCTGGGTAGGCGGGGATCAGTTGAATCTTTCTATACCCAGATACTTAGGCCTAACTTCTCCTGTGCTGTTCGCCTCCTCTTCTCCCCCACCTGCCAATGTGCCGTTCTTTATGGTCAAGCTCAGGGCTTTTTTTGTAGAAAACGCCCAGCAGGAACTCATTAGCACAATAGGCCACACCCCATGCCTTCCCTTGGCTTCCCTTGGCAAAATGCCTCCCCGATCCTTCCAGCCCCCCCCCCCCCCCCCCCCCCCCCCCCCCCGGCCCTTTTTTTACCCCCCCCCCCCGCCCACCCTCCTCGGAGTCGTCTGTAGGGGCACTTTCCTCTGTAGCCACGCAGGCAGAGGTTTTGGCTGTAGTGGGCGTGGCCAACTCTGAAGCCAGCCAGAACTCCATTCCTGTGCGTTCCTGCCCCAAAATAACCCTGGTCAAGCTAAAAATGATTAAAATCTATACCAGGTATATCCTATAGCATTTTGCTAGATACCCACAGTTGGAAGGTAAGTATGTAATCCTGTGAATCATCAAGATATGGTATCGAATGTGTGCTTTTAGATGCTTCATGTACCAGCAGTGAGCAACACACAAATAAGGTGAACTGTATAATTTCCCCTCATACTGCAGACAGGGGAGAGGCTGCAGTTAAGTGATGGTAATGTTCAATGCGAGGGGAAATTTGAACCTGGGACTTTCTAGCTGACAACTCACACATTTATCTACTATGCTGCAACCGTTCTTTATGAACCAAAAATAAGATTGCCAACTGCCTGGGGGGGGGAATGTCCTATCTCTTTAATAGAGGCTTAATGGGATGTTATTTACAAGGTGATGTTAATAACTCCATGCCATGAAGGGCTTCAGCTGCTGATCTGCATACATTCAGTCTCTATTAAAGGGTTGGGTCATTTTTCTCCAGGCCTGCTACCAACCCTAACCAGAAGGCATTGTGAGAGATGTTTGCCCATCTTAATTCCTTTGTTGTTCAATGGAGGTTCATACCATCTAACCTAGTGTTTGATATATTGTTCCTCAGGGTGTCATACCTCTTGCTGGCTGCACCGTAGAAGCCAAAGAAGAGCCCAACATGCCTTATGGAATGAAAATCTCCCATGAGGACTTCCATGTAAGAGAAACCCCCCCCCCAAACTAAATGAATGTTTAATGCTGTAGAAAGCTGCTAAATAGACAAGTAAGGAAATCCATTTTCCAACAGACACACCACTTAGATATACAGCAATGCCAGCCCTGCTCTTCTTTTTTTCTGCCAGCAGGCTCATCAATTTCCTTGATGTAGTGCCCACCCAGTAATGTTTACGTAGCTATAACTTCCACTATAATAGTAGTATCAGACATTCTTGAGACTCTTGAGGCCTATCTACACCACAAACTTCTGTTTAGGATTCACTCCTATAGTTCTGTGAAGGAGCTAAGCTCTCTTACCAAACTACAGTTCCCAGGATTCTTTGGGTGAGGGATCCACAAGACTTTGACACTCATAACCACTACACCACACTGGCTAACTAGTATCTGGAAGACCCAGATCTGAATCCCCACTTGTGCCACGGAAGCTCGCTGGGTGATCTTGGCTGGTCATACTCTCTCAGCCTAACCTACCTCACAGGGTTGTTGTGAGGATAATATGGAGGAGAGGAGAAACGATGTAAGCCATTTTGGGTCCTGATTGGGGAGAAAGGCAGGGCACAAATAAATTAAATAACTAAACAGACCTGCAATATGTCTGGAATCTAGAAATACCCACAGCAACTCCTCTGTCCACACACAAGAGCAGGGCTATTTGGTTTTCTTTTTCCTTGACGGGGCATCTTTGTTTATCAGCTTCTCTTTATAGCTACTTTAACATTTCTTTTTAAGGGTAGCATCGTTCTAGCAGCAGAATCAGAATTTGAACAAGCTCAGTGGCTGGAGATGCTACAAGAATCTGGAAAAGTGTAAGTACAATGGGCGGGCAGCCGCTCCATTGAACCTTTGCTCTCCTTGAAACCAGCTTCCATATTGCCATTACCTCTTAAGTATTTCGGTTATTATTAACCCTTGTTATTTGGTGATGATGATGATGTTATTAACATAAAAGTGTTATCAATGCTTTCATTTATTTACATTTTCAATTCACATTTTTGTATGCCAGCAAAGCTGTTCTACTAGTAGGACTAATAACACAGAGATACTTCGCCATGGGGGTGTGTGTGTCAAGGTGTAGCAATATTTTGATTATATCACCACCTTTCTTGTTGATCATGTGTGTTTTCTGAAGTCTGTGAGTTCAAGCACATTTTAGCTGTCATTGAACTCTAGTTGCATAAGGTTTATTTAATCTCTGACAGTGAATTTAAACAGTTACAGAAAAGTTAGATTAACTACTTTTTAACAGAGTTTCAGAATTAAGTTTGGCCTTCTTATCTGGCTTTAAAAAAGGTAATGAAGAGATATCAGATATAGTCTCATATGCACTTGTTGATTATATCATACATAGTTAAGAACCAATTACTTAACTAGTTAGTAATCACATAATTAAGACAGAAGAGATTTAGAGTAATGTAAGACTGATATTTTTCTATAAAAATCTATAATTATGATAGGCAAATCAGATTTCTGTAGGTTTATGGTAAATCCCCATAAGTTTAAGACAGTAACTTGAAACCTGGTTTGTTGTAAAATATTACTTATTATAATATGTTAGGAACTCTGGTAATTTTAGCAGTTGTTTTTACCATAACTACGGGGTTAATTTTGATATGCTTGTATTTTCTAATGGTTTGCTTAATAAAGAGAACTATTCCTTTTTTCAGTGAAAGATAACACCTCTGAAGGTTTTCAGTCTGGTTTGTTTGTTTTAGTTCAAAGAACAAACTCACAACTATCTTGTTTGTATTGTCATATGTAAAGGATGATAGACTGCCTTTAGTACATAGATCCCAGAAGTACCTACCACTAAATGTTTTGAACAGGCAAAGTCCTGTTGGAACTGTTTAGTCCAGATTCTCTAATTGGATGTGGGAGTCAAACATCCAAATTACAGTGGCTCAGTGGCAGAGTATCTGCTTGGCATGGAAAGATCCTAGGGTTCCCAGCCTCCAGGTGGGGCCTGGAGAACGCCCGCTTTTACAACTAATCTCCAGATGACAGAGATCAGCTCCCTTGGAAGAAATGGCTGCTTTGAAGAGCGGAGTCTATGGCATTGTACCATGCTGATGCCTCTTCCCTCCCCAAATCCCACCCTCTCCCGGATCCACCCCCAAAGACTTTTCCAACCCAGACCTGGTGTCAGGTGGGCAGTATGTCAGCGAGCTGCCATTTCCTTGGGACACGTCCCATCCCCCTTCCTTTCTCCCAAAGCCTTATCCTGTTCATGTAGTGCCTCTGTAACTGCCAAGGTCTCCAGCTGGTGCGATGTGGTGTTATGTCTTAATGCTCTGGCTTGTTTAGATTTCCCATGTGAACTTAACCTGTGTTTATGGAATGGACCGTTGCTGTTCTCACACTGCTTCGCGCCTCTTCTAATCTGTAAACCTGACGAGGGAAATATGCTCATTGGTTTAAACCTGGTTTGAAGTTCCTTTTAATACACCTTCCCTGGGTATTGTAGTTATTCCTAACAATCTCTGTATGTTCGTGATCAACCATGCTTTGGAAATAAATCTTTCTTCTTTTTGAACGTGGATCTATTCTCCTGATTTGGGATCTAACACCTGGCAACCCTAAAAGACCCCAGTTCAATCCCTGGTATCTCCAACTGGAAGGATGATGTAGTAGGTGGTGCCTAGGATCAGCTTGCAAGTAGTGACCAATGGTAGACTTCCATTTTCTGATGAAGGAACAGGCAGCTCTAGACTGCTGAGAGGTTTGGGCAAGCACTTTTCAGCTCTGAACATTAGGAAAGCTAAGTGTGAGCTTATCAAGGCACCTGACCAAAGGAGGCTCTCCTAAAACAGATGGTAACTTTCAAAGCAATGATCAAAGGATCAAGCGTCCTCAGCTCGAGCTGAAGACCGCTCGTCACCGCGCCATGCCGACCGGAAGTCCTAGAAACAGCTTTCTCAATCATTCAGCCGGGTTTATGCTAAGTTATCGGTCTGTGTGAACCCATGCTAAGAAAGAAGTATCCCACAAGTGAAACGAGAGGATGAAGGACATGAGAACTTGGCATAGAAATGCACCTAGTAGATTCCATCAGCACCCCCCTTTCAGCTGCTCCATATTGACCTGGAGCTTGCCTGCACTGTTGTCCTCAAGTCTGCTGAGAAGACAGGAGGACAATGTTCTGTCAGCCCTGGTCACCGTAAGGGCTCATTGAGCTAGGCAAATCATATGATTTGTTTTCACATGATGTTGGAGCTGGGTCAGAGATGGTGTGTGTGGTGGCCTGTGTTTGTAGCCAGATTTATCCTACCTGATTCGAAACATCATGTTTGTAATTGTGAATCAAAATTAACTGAAGGAGAGTCAAGCGAACCCGGTAAAACTTGCTGCACCTTTCTTTTGTCTTTAGGTGTGACCATTCAATAGCATTGTTACACCTGGTGAGAGGAGTTCATGGTTCCATAGAAACCATGTTATTTTGTTAGCCACCCAAGCCCCATTCTCGGGGAGGGGCAGGATAAAAATCTAATACAATAAATATAAAATCACAGTGCCCTTGTGAATGGCCCAAGGTAGTCATCAAGTGGGTACAACTTAAACAGCCCTGAATTCCTTGCTTGTGGAAGGCTTAGGAAATATTGCACTTTGCTGGTTTTCTCCTGATTGGCCCCCAGCCTGGCATTTTGAGTGATCTCTATAAACTCTTGCGAGGCATCTCAGTCATTTTTATTCTATCATGGTCCAATGGTCAGCAAGCGAGAATTCTCTGCCTGTTGGAACTGCCCGCCCTAGTCCATGGCTCTTGTTTTCCATTGTCTGCTTCACACACTGGTGCAGAATTGCCACAGACTCCTGAAAAGTACTGAGACTTACTAGCGATTTCAGCTCTCATACTTTATTCAGCTCAGAACAAGACAAGAACTACCGGCTCGCAGGCTGGTTTATAAAGGCAAACAACCCACACCCCAGATACACCCCTACAACAGTCATAGGCTATTTACAGTGGCCAAGAGTTCCATAGGCTTTCGGCCTGGAACCTAGCCCTCTGATTGGAGCGGGCTAGGATCCGCTTGGCCCATTGTTCCTGAGAGCGAAGCTCATACGCTTCGCATGACTGCGTGGCGACCTAGCCGCGCACGTGGTTGGAGCTGGATATGTTACAACACCAAACTCTGTTTCCGTGTAATCTCTTCGAGGTATTTACCTCACCCCTAGAAGGCCCTTATCAAGCCATCCTGGTCACCAGTCTTCAAATTACTGCCAGGTGTTTTTCTGCATGTGAGATCCTCCTCTAACACCCTAGGCTTACAGCATGGACTGGTTTGACCGAGGTTGTCATAATCATAAGTGTTATAGTATTGCAAAGTGATTGAAGAGCACTTTTACTGTCCAGAGGAGTTTAAAATAGCTCTGAGGAATTGCTTCAGCAGTCATGCAGTTCCTTGGTTAAGAGAGAAACAGAGAGGACTTGGCTCTGAAGGTCAAGAACCATGTGGCTTAAGCAGGACAGAGCTAATACAATGGCTGTTTGTAGCAAAAAGGATATACAATAGACATGTCTCTGTTTCAGTGCTGAATTATAAGGGCTCCATCTCCCTCTCTGTGTAGAACACAATGCCAATTCCACTCTGAGGGAAGTGGGTGAAGGGATATTATAACAGGACTCTCATGGGAGGACATGCCATCCAACTAAGGCACTAGTGTTGTATTTCATTGAGAGCACCAGATCCTTGGAAGGCCTATTTCTCCACCAGTCTTTGGCTTTACAACAGCATGCTGATCTTGAGTATGAATATGGAGGAGCTTTCTCACATATGCCTACAACATTAAAATAGGACCGGGGTATCTAATATACTTCCATATGTTTCAGCCTTTGCTTGAAGACTGTGAACTGAAGCCCTGTTTTGCTTCTCTTCTTTTTTGGTGGTGAGGTGGATGGCAGCAAGGAAACAGGACATTTTTAGACAGTGGTGGTAAGGCTGCCTAACTCTGGGTTGGAAAATTCCTGGAGATTTTGGGGTAGAGCCTGAGGAGGGAGGGTTTGGGGAGGGGAGGGACCTCAGCAGCCTTAGTCCATTGTCCAAAGCATCCATTTTCTCCAGGGGAACTGATCCCTGTAGTCTGGAGATTAGTTATAATTCCTGGAGACCTCTAAGCCACATCTGGAGGTTGTCAGCCCTAGATGGGAGCACCTAGATGCCCTGTGTACTGATGTAGCTTCCCCAGGAGGCACAGGCTGGGGTCCAGTAGGGCAGGTAACAGGCAGGGTTGCAGAGGGTAACCAAAGTCCAGTCTAAAAGTCAGGGGCTCCAGAGAGCAGGTTTATCAAAGTCCAGTCTAGGGTCAAGGGGTTCCAGGCAGCAAGTCCGGCTCAAGGTCTGGGGTTCCAGAAAAGCCAGTTGTCAGGTCCAGCCTGAGGCTGCAGTAGTCTGGTAGCAGCAACATTAGTGGCTCAGTAGCAAAGTGTATTTGTTGCATCCACAAACTGCTGCTTCTCCCAGCTGAATTGATAGCCAAGTCATAATGAGCTAAACTCGCAGCCAATTCCTTTGCAGTCATCCTGAAACTACTAATTCATCTCTTCAATTGACAGCTGACAACAGGCCATGCATCTCACACTTCTTCTCCTTTCTTGCAACTTTAAGCATCTCTGACAGCATCAGTGCTGCAAGGGTGTGGGTGAGCTAGGTGGGCTGGGAGTGGTTGCTGAAGACTTGTTTACTGCTTCAGAGCTACAAGGTGTTGGCTCAGCTTCAGCTGTAGGCTGTGACTCCTGATCAGCTGGTAACTTGATATCTTGTTCTCCTTCTGGCTCAGAGCCAGTTGCAGGCAGCTGTTCAATTACCGGCTCAGGGCTAGCAGATATTTATTTATTTATTTGGATTTGTATCCTGCCCTCCCTGCGAACCGGCTCAGGGTGAGTAACAACAATATAAAATACAATATATTTAAAACCAAGTTAAAACAACAGCATACAATACCATACTTCTAAGTACCATGTCAGTTCAGATAGAAGCATATCAACAGTGGTGAAAGATTTAAGATGTTAGGGTCCAGACCACTGGTGGGGTTGGCCACAAAAAGGGGCGCTCGTCGCCTCAACCAAAAGCTTGGCAGAAGAGCTCCGTCTTACAGGCCCTGCATCTTACAGGCTCTGCAGAATTGTAGTAAATCCCACAGGGCCCTGATCTCACTCAGGAGCTCATTCCACCAGGTAGGGACCAGTGCCAAAAAGGCCCTGGCCCTGGTTGAGGGCAAGTCAGATGTCCCTGGGGCCAGGGACTACCAAAAGATGTTGATTAGTTGACCTTATTGCTCTATGGGGCTCATATGAGGAGAGGCGGTCTTGAAGGTATGCTGTCCCTGGCCGTATAGGGCTTTAAAGGTAAATACCAACACCTTGAAACGGATCTGGAATTTGATAGGCAGCCAGTGCAGTTCACACAGCACTGGGTGGATGTGAGCCCACACAGGCGTTGCTGTCAACACTCGCACTGCTGCATTCTGGAGTAGCTGCAGCTTCCGGCGCAGAGTCAAGGGCAGCCCCACATAGAGAGAGTTAGAATAATCCAGTCTGGAAGTGACCATTGCATGGATCACTTTCACTAGGTCTTGGGGAGTGAGATATGGGGCCAGCTGCCTGACCTGCCTCTGATGGAAAAAGGCAGACCTGGCAGTGGTGGTGGCCCGGGCCTCCATAGAAAGGGATCCAGGAGCACCCCCAGACTCCTCACCCTTGATGTCTTGACCAATGGGGCCCCGTCAAAGGCTGGGAGCCTAAAGTAGCTCTTCGTCTAAAAAATCTAAGCCATCACTAAGCCATATATTATCCCTCTGTTGCTTTACTCAGACTGGCACAGCTCTCCAAGGTCTCAGCAGAAGTCTTTCACATTACAGGGTGGATTGTGGGGCACTCCAAAGGGATCTGTTGAGGATGGGCGAATGGGCATCAACATGGCAAATGGAGTTTAATTTGGCCAAGTGCAAAGTGATGCACATTGTAACCAAAAACCCTAACTATTATATGTTGATTGTGTCTGAACTGGCAGAGACTGACCAAGAGAGAGATCTTGGAGTCATAGTAGATAACTGACTGAAAATATTGAGACAGTGTGCAACTGCAATAAAAAAGGCCAATGCTATGCTGGGGTTTATTAGGAAGGGAATTGAAAAACAAATCAGCCAGTATCATAATGCCCCTGTATAAATCAATGGGGCGACGTCATTTGGAATACTGTGTACAGTTCTGGTCACTCACCACACCTCAAAAAGGATATTATAGATTGGAATATGTCATCATTGTTTTATGTATTCTTATAAGTCACCCTGTTCATTTTCCCTATCCTCTTTCTCTCTCTCTTTTTAAAGAGAAGTTTGATGAAGTTTGTAAATTTGACAGCACGGTATATTTTAAAAAGGGAATTTTCACTTTCTTATTTAATTGTGTTATTTTTTAGGACCTGGAGAAATGCTCAGCTGGGAGAGGCTATGATTGAGACCCTTGAAGCACAAGGACTCCAGCTTGCAAAGGAGAAACAGGAGTATTTAGGTTGGTGTGAACAGCTGTTCATTAACAGAGAATCATGACTCAGTAGTTCTGTTATGGATCAAGATGGGTAGTCTTGTCTGTAGCAGTACAAAAGTGTATGAGTCCTGTAGCACTTTAAAGACTAAGAACATTTGTAATAGGGTATGAGCTTTTATGAGTCACTGCTCACTTCTTCTGGTTATTTGAAGAAGTGAGCAGTGATGCACAAAAGCTCATACCCTACCACAAATTTTGTTAGTCTTTAAGGTGCTACTGGACTCTTCCTCTTTGCTAGCTCTATTGTGATTATCTTTATCATTTATGTAGTGCCATTGCTGTATGTGGCCCTTTGCAGATTGACATAATCAAAAATGACAGTTGTAATGACAATGAATCCCTTTGTGGCACTGGAAGGTCCATGTTACCCTTCTTCCTTTAACAAACTTGAGGCCAGAAGGCGATCTGCTAACCTTCAAGGCCTTACTACCAGTGACCTCAGTTAAGCAGCAACTTCTGTGAAGCTGTTATGGTGGTGGGGGGGAACAGAGCAGACACAATAATTACCTTAGGAAGGCAGTCTGTACATAAATGCAAGGTTATTCACCCTTTCATAACTGAAGTCCACAGAGGGGCTACTGCCCAATGGCAGATGGTTAAAGTAGTTGGGTGCCTGGGATCCTGGCTATGGACTGAGAATTTGGCAGGCAATAGTGAAAAGGACAGACCAACACTGGCACTGGGGATTGCTCACCGTGAGCCAACATTGACATTTTGAGTGGTGATCTTTGATACGATTTTTCAATCTTTTGTTTTGACTCCAGTGTATCCAAAGGGGCTGCTCATTTGGTCCTGGAAGTGGTAGGCTGTTTAACCTCTTCACTGTTTCCCCAGTGCTCCTCTGAAGCTAGTAGTCTTGGATGCAGGGTGGAGAAGCACAAGCTGTTTTGTTTTTAATTCCAGCAAGGCAAAAGGTAGAGGTAAATTGGATGTGAGAGAAATACCCCCCAATGCATCTACTCCAACAACAACAATCCCCCCCCCCTTGCTGCTTTGAATTAAAGGAAGAAATATATGGAACTCTGATGTTATTCTATACAGTGTCTGCTTTGGCCCGACAGGAAATAGAAGCAAGCCTACAGCTGACTAATATGACACATAGGTCAGAGAGAAAGCAGGTAACTTTGAGATCTGCTTCAGCTCTGGTATGAAAAAGCTACTGAGGGCTGAAATACACTTGTGTGAAGGTTTGTGTTGTAGGCCCTGCCTCACTGTTGAAGTTCAGTCCTCAACAGTGCTTTGCTTCTGAGGTGCACTCTCCAATGAAGCTGTTTTGTCTCCTGCTTCCCCTGAGACTAGTACAGTAGGGTTGCCAAGTCCGGCGTTGCGCTGCAGCGGGGGACTCCCCACAGCGGGGGACGCATGTCACCCGGAATTGACGTGACGACGCCGGGCATACTGGGGGCGGGGGCACGACCATCCGAGGGAAAACCATAGAGTTTTCCCTCGGATGACCGTGGCCCTGCCCCCAGCATGCCCGGTGTGGTCGCGTCACTTCCGGGTGATGTGCACATTGGGGTGGGGCTCCCTCCGGGGCCCGATCCGCCAGTGGCAGGGAACGGGCCTCTGGGGTGGGGGTTTCCCCGCCCCCCGGGGGGACTTGGCAAGCCTATAATACAGTGGTGAAGATAGGATGTTCAGAACTGATGGAGGTCTCGGAAGCAGAAGAGAAAAGAGGCATGGATCCATAGAGTTCCTTGCAGCTCTTCATCCCAGGAAGGCTCTGAGAGAAGGCATGCCTCAGTGGCTCCTTCCTGAGGACTCCTTTTCTCATGTAGAAGTGACTGAGTCCAGGTCCTGGGCCAGACTAACATCTGCCTATCAAAATCTACTGGCTTCCTTGTATGTGGTACCAGCTGGATGATTAAGAACATCTCCAAATTCATGTCTGGTTCCCAGGTTACCAGAGTGGGATGGGAGTAGGTTGCCAACTTCTAAATTGGCCCTTTCAACTGACCATTTAAATAGATGCTTAATGGAATGTTCTTTACCAGGTGATGCTATTTAACTTCATATCATAAAAAGCGTCACCTGCCCATTCCCACACATTTGGTCTCTATGAAATGGACTGGACATTTTTATCCAAGCCTGCCTGTAGTCCTACACGGAAGTTAACAGCAAACAGTCAATCCAAAAGAACTCTTTGTTTCCAGAGAGGAATTCCCTTAACTCTCCTCTAACTCTCTGTTTCCCATATGGATCATTCCTGATACACACACACCCCCCGGTCACCACCAGGTATGGCCATTTACCCAATAGCGAGAGAGTGGGAAGGCGTTCCAATCTCTGGTTACCATGCGTTGTCAGGCAAGGTATGTTTTGATTGGCTAGGAGTTGGGCATCCCATTCCAGCCTCTTCCATTGACCATGTGTCATGTCAGGGAATGCCAGGTCTCCTAAATTCTAGAAAGCACCTACAAGGGTTGCTACTATGTAAGTTGGACCAAAATGCATACAATTTATTTGGTAATGCCTGATGGGAAGATTGTAAGGTTTACCACATTAATGCACATTGAAATCCTTTGAAAGAAAGCACTGGAGACCAAATTATTGTTATAATTTATAATTAATTTGGCAGGAGACACATAAAAGACAAAAACTCATTAAAGTGATTTCATAATAGCAAACCCTCAAATTGACACAGAATGTTGCAACAGGCTAAAATTGCGTTTTTCAAGGCCCACACATCTCAAGGCCTCACAGCCCCGAATGATTTCTTCCACTGGTGGTTGCTTTCACTCTCCCCTGTATGTCTTGTCGCAGATAAACTGATGGAAGAGACAGAGGAGCTGTGTCTGCAAAGGGAGCAGAGAGAGGTTTGTTCTCTTTACTGGAAGTGATTATTGAAGACCTGTATGAGGGTAAGATTACAATAGAATGGAACTGGATTGCATCCACCCACACACACCCCAGCCCCACCAGAAGTTCAGTGTGAAGGGGCAAGACGTTTGGAGAAATCAGTAGGTGTGGATGCCATAGTGACAAACCAAAGGGACTCATTGCCCACTTGCAAGAGGCACGCTTGGGGTTGGTCATTGTTTCATTGGTTTTTGGATGAATGCAGAGCTAACACTTGCCAAGAAGCTGTTCTGAGGTACCCCCACTGTATTCAGTCCAAACATATTGTGCCCCACTCCCCCAAGTGGTGAGAAGTTTCACGGGCAGCACCTGTCTGGATCCATGTACTTTGGAGAAGAGACCACTGGAGACTTATGGCATTTTTGTAGTATTTGCTTTATCTTCGTATCTCTTAGTAAAGCAAAGAGGCAGTCTACAGAGCACCAGATCCAGTACTCTGTGTTTGTGAGAGAGTCTCAGGGTGCTTCAGCCAACTGCCTGTGTGGTCTCTTCCAGCATCTAGACGGCCCTTTCTTTCCACCCAGACACCAACCTGCTTCTTCCCTTGCATGAAGGAAGGGGCAGCCCTCTCATCTGGCCTGACGGGCACTTGGCCTTAGCTTCAGGCCCACTGAAGGGATATCTTTTCTGCACCTGTCTGTTCCCTCGCAGTTTGTCCACAGCCACGTCGGAAGCAGACTCTCCCTCCATATCACATCCTGCTCTCACCTCCCTCCAGCATCGTGGCTCTTTCCAGATTCTGCTTTGTTTTGTGGCCGTCCAGAGGTGACTTCGCAGTCATCACAGCATGGCCCGGGGGCATCTGAAAGTGGTTTTTCCCTGGACCTTTTTGCTCTTCAGCTTCCAATTTGGAGGGAATAGCAAGCAGGCTACTTGACGTGGCTTTAGTCATCTCCACCCGTTCCTGCATCCCTATTTCTGCTTCTATTTAATTTTCACCTAGCACACAGCTCTGAGGGCAGGTAGGGGGGCAGCCTGGGGAGGTCCTCTGTGAGCTTGGTGTTTCAAGCTTGCAGGGGGGGCGTTTGATACACTCCTCCCCCTCCTCTTAGGGAGGGATCTTTTCCCCCTTCCCCAAAGCAAACTGCACATAACTTGGAGGGCGGGTAGAGGAGCAGCCAAGGGAGGTCCCCTGTGCGTTTAATGCTTCTAGCTAGTGGGGGGGGGGCATTTGGCACACTCCTCCCCTCCTTCACACATTGGACCCTAGGGAGGGATCTTTGCCTTTCCCTAAAGCTAATGTGCACACAACTTGGACTCGGATGTATTAAAAGGAATGTTTCTAATGAGCAATGGGAGAGGCTTTTAACTTTTTAACTTTAAAACTCTTGGAACACCACCCGTCTTGACACACCAGCTAGTCAGCTGCTGAGCTTGCATCCCTCTATGGGTCATGCATGTCTGAAGTAACCCAGCGGCAGCTAGCCAAAGTGGGTGGGAGAGCAGAGAGGAGAGGAGAGAAAAGGGAGGGTGCAGTGTGCCACATCCCTTGCTTATGCACCTGGCCATGTCAGTGGTAATTGGACACCCCCTCCACAGGTCACAAGTGACATTAACCACAATTAAGCAAAAAATGCAGGTTTGGGTCGTAGATACAGAATGCGTACACAAAAATAAACTGGAGAAAAAAGAATAGTGCAGAGGGGAGGAACAGAAAATACAAAGTTGACCTTAAAAGCTCAACTACTCGGATTGTCCAGCGTAAGCTACAGTGAGCTGTTGGTGCAGAAAAGGCCTAAGACACATGACTCTTGCTTTTGTCGTGTAGATAGATTAAGCCACAGTGGCCAGGATAAAAGACGGCAGCCGTGCTTTTCTTGTCCAATACTGAGCTCTACAAGTTTGAAATGGAACCTGGCTTGCATGCTGCTATGATTTCAGCACCATTTCCCAACTCCTGGAGAAAGTTTGCATTTTGATAAAGTTGTCTTTATTTTTAAAAACTTATTAAGGTGATGCATGTTTGTATAGTGCTTTTAAAATCGGGGGGGGGGGGCAAGATGGACTGCTTTCTTGAAGCCCTGGTAAAATGTCAAATTGAGCCAACGTTTCATTTTCCAATATGTGTGCCTGAAACTTGGTAGCCTTTTGGATGCGCTGTCTTTCCTCTTCCTTCCTTTTAGGCTTTGGAGCACCTCAACCAAGTCTTGGAGGCAGAGAAACAGCAGTTTGAGGAGGTGGTGCAAGAGCTGCGTGGGGAGCAAGAACAAATTAAACGGTAGAGTGTGAGAGAGGTGAAAAAAATTGGTCTTTCCACTGGTGTCTTGCATGGTGCCTACCTTGGTCAGGGTCAGCTCATTTTGGTACCCCCAAGTGCTCTGCTCCTGTCCTGCTCCAAGGGCTCCAAGCTGGGGTGCAAAGTGGCTCTGCAAGCCTGTCTTGGAGCCTGGCAGAGTGAATGGGTGTGGTTGCCTTCTCCTGTGGCACACTGTGGTCACCACTGCACCCTGGTTTAGAGCCTGGTGGCAGCACAAGTATATGGGGAGGTGCAGCTTCTCCTGTGTCACCCTCACCAACTCCATGGCCTCTGCCATCTGTCTTGGGCCCAGGCAGCAGCAGCATGGGTACAGGAGGCGATGAATAGTGCAAGACATGCTTGTCGCTCTTTTCGTGCACCACTCTCTGCCAGTTTTGCATCCCAAGTAGCTGCGGTTAGGCCCCTATTTAAAATATGTCTACTTTCCTTGTGAACGCGGTCTAGGTTTTTTTCATGACCTCTGTGTGCCACACTCCATTAACTCTGTGCCTTATACTTTGTTCATTCTCCATGAACACTTTCCCTTGATTAGACAATTGGGCTACCATCCTTCAGTAGGACTGGCCTTCAGGTTTTTCTTTAAATAAATTGTGCCTAGTTTGCACATGGACATATGTTCTCCTCCCCTTCAATATATTTCACTTTGCTGAGGGTGTGCATTTCCTAGAGATAAAGGATGGAGGAGCTTGGCGAAAACATTGTTGTGGGATTGTGAACTTTAGGCAGCCACGAGACTAGATAGCAAAGCTGAAAAGAAATTTCTTTTGTTAAAATTGGTGTTGCTAAGGCAGTGTCCTTGCTTCCCCAAGGTGCTGTTGCAACCTCTATTCATCTCAAACCATGTGAATTGTAAGCTGGTGTGTGGGGAAGAATGAGCAGGCAGTGATTGCAGAACTACATTGCAGTGGCTCTGATGTCACACAGATCAACTCATGACACCCCCCCCCAACTATCTTCTTTCTTTCTTTCTTTCTTTCTTTCTTTCTTTCTTTCTTTCTTTCTTTCTTTCTTTCTTTCTTTCTTTCTTTCTTTCTTTCTTTCTTTCTTTTTCAGGGGCTCGGGTCAGACTATAATTGGGGACCCCAGGGGGTAGGGCTCGCTTTCCATAATTGTCAGATGTCAGTGGTGGCAGTGATCATGGCGGCTCCAAAGGCCTGGTGGAAGAGCTCTGTTTTACAGGCCCTGTAGAACTGTAATAGGTCCTGCAGGGCCCTGATCTCCTCCTGGAGCTCATTCCACCAGAGTTGAGCTGCCACTGAGAAAGCCGTAGCCCTCGTTGTCGCTAGCCTGGCCTCCTTGATAGCTCTCTGGGGGACATATGGGGAAAGGTGGTCCTTCAGGTATGCAGGTCCCTGGCCATGAGGGGCTTTAAAGGTAATAACCAGAACCTTGAACCGAATCCGGTATGCTATAGGCAGCCAGTGCAGTGCTTTTAGGGCGGGCTGGATGTGTTTCCGCACAGGAAGACACAACAACAGCCTAGCTGCTGCATTCTGCACCAGCTGCAGCTTCCGCATTTGGGACAAGGGCAGTCCCATGTAGAGAGCATTACAGTAATCCAATCTCGAGGTGACCATTGCATGGATCACTGTTGTGAGATCATTGCATTCAAGGAAGGGAACCAACTGCTTAATCAGCCATAGGTGGTAAAAGGCAGACTGCAGTGGCTGCTACCTGGGCCTCCATTATTAAGGAGGCATCCAGGAGCACTCCCAAACTCCTAACCTCCAGTGCTGGCACCAGCAATGCCCCATTGAAGGTCAGGAGAGGGACCCCTAACCTTGGCCCACTCCACCTCAGGCACAGGACCTCCATCTTCATCGGATTCAATTTCAATCGACTCAGTCTGAGCCAACCAGCCAAGGCTTTCAACGCCAGGTCCAGATCTCCTGGAATAGAGTCTGACTGGCTGTCCAACGACAGATAGAGCTGGGTGTCATCCACATATTGGTGACAACCCAGACCATACCTCCGGGCAATCTGGGCAAGGGGGCGCATATAGATGTTGAATAACATTGGGGAGAGCACCGCTGCTTGGGGCACTCCGCAAATAAGTGGGTGCCTTCCGGATAGCTGTTCCCCAATGGCCACCCTTTCCCCCCGACCCTGAAGGAACAAGGAGAGCCACTGCAAGGCTAACCCCTTAATCCTGGTGTTGGCGAGGCGGTGGATCAGTAGTTGATGATCAACTGTGTCGAATGTCACCAGCAGGTCTAACAACAACACTGCCATACCGCCTCGATCCAGATGTCTCTGGAGATCATCTGTGAGGGCGACCAGGACTGTCTCTGTCCCGTGGCCTGGTCAGAAGCCAGACTGGAAGGGATCTAATATGGAGGCGTCATCCAAAAAACCCTGCAGTTGAAACGCCACCACCCTCTCAATCAGTTTGCCCAAAGAGGGCAAATTGAATACCGGCCAATAGTTAGCTTATTCGGCCGGGTCCAAAGATGGTTTTTTAAGAGAGGGCGGACCACTGCCTCCTTTAGGTGCACTAGGGAACAGTCCCTCAATGAGAGACTTGGTGATTTCCCTTAGTGCACCTCGCAACCCATCATGGCCAGCTTAAATTAGCCATGATGGGCACAGGTGGAGGCTGCAGGTGGTCGGGCGAACAGCTGAAAGTAATTTGTCAGCCTCCTCCAGGCTGAGTGGACTGAAGTAATCCAAAACTTAGCTTGGCTTTACTGAAGTAATGCAAAAGTTTTAGCTTGGCTTTACTGACTTCACACTCCCTAATCTGAAAGCTTTTGTCTTGGAATAGATTTGAGGATGTGCTGAAGACACATAAGAATAGGGGGTGGGGGAAGATTGCTTTGTGCTTCCTCCCTCTGTGCTGTCCAGGCAAATCTACACTACAGACTACGGGCCAAACTACAGGATAAACCCAAAACGTGTCAGGTCACGGGTGCATGACCAATGATCAGATTTGCATTCAACCATCAGGGGAACTTGCCTTAACAAGTGCATGTTCACTATGCACTGTGAGGGGGTGCTGTAAAGGAGGAGAAGGGATTTCTGGTTTCCCTCCCACCCTGCTTTTGCCAGTGGAAAAGGTAGTGGCGGGAGAGGGTTGCCTTTTTTTCTCTGGCTCCACATGTCCTAGGAAGGACACATAGAGCCAGAGAAAAGGGGAGAAAAGTATCTCAGGTTTCCCATGATATTTATTCTTTTCTGTACTTTTTTGGCATTTGGCATCAAAATAGTGAGGCAGGATAGTGGTTTCTGATACAATTCTCAACATTCTCATTGAATTGCAATTCCCAGAATTCTTTAGGGAAGCTAAGTTTAACTGGTATAGAGTGGGTATATGTTTCTAGTATATGTCTCCCCTGTTCATGTCTAAAATGAGAAACATTTGAAGGCCAGCTCTTGAGGGATGGGTACATCATGTTCTGATGCTGGAGTTCATGCATGTCTAAAGTTTGTCTTCACATTAGAGACAGAAATGAAGGAAAAGGAAGGGAAAGATCTTTGTGTTTCCTACCACACATCCTGCTGCATCTGCACCACATTTTAACCTACAGGAGCAATAAGGTGCTTGATAGTTACAACATAAAGTGCAGTTTCTAGGGCCAAATTCATATGTGTCCCTTTGCTTCTGGGCTTCTCTCCTGCTTGCTGTGCACAGGTGAAAGCCACTTTCAATTAAATGTGCTTCTATCAGGTTTCTAAATGAACTGATGGCTATACAGGAAGATGGATTTACAATCACATATCAGTCTTCCTGAGATTTTGGTGTCACCTATGAATTGATGTGTTCTATTTCAGGCCAGCTCTTGAGGGATGGGTACATCATGTTCTGATGCTGGAGTTCATGCATGTCTAAAGTTTGTCTTCACATTAGAGACAGAAATGAAGGAAAAGGAAGGGAAAGATCTTTGTGTTTCCTACCACACATCCTGCTGCATCTGCACCACATTTTAACCTACAGGAGCAATAAGGTGCTTGATAGTTACAACATAAAGTGCAGTTTCTAGGGCCAAATTCATATGTGTCCCTTTGCTTCTGAGCTTCTCTCCTGCTTGCTGTGCACAGGTGAAAGCCACTTTCAATTAAATGTGCTTCTATCAGGTTTCTAAATGAACTGATGGCTATATAGGAAGATGGATTTACAATCACATATCAGTCTTCCTAAGATTTTGGTGTCACCTATGAATTGACGTGTTCTATCTCAAGCATAGTTTTAGTCCCCCTCCCACACTATTTTTCAAGAGAATTATACCCATTTAGGAACACCTTCTTTTCATGCATTTTCAGCACAGATGGAAACAGCTAGTGTATCTTTGTGTTTCAGTTCTGCATGCATGAGCAGTGAGATGGAACAACTCATATTCCTTTGAAAATAATTTTGTAGCCCTTTTTACTACTGTAGAATATACCACAAACAAGCAGCACTAGAGGAAGCTGCCTGATATTTACTAGAATGTTGCTTTTTCTCACAACTGAAGAGCTGATGAGAGTGGAGAACAGAGCAGGGAAGAGGAGCAGACAGGCTTCCTAGGCTGGCCTTTCTGGTGATAGCCGGGCTGTTACGGGATGGCAACAGAGTCTCATTGCAAGGCAGTGGGGGCCAGAATCTGGGGTAGACAAGAGGGTAGCGTTTTCTCTCATTCCTCCTGGAAGGAAATGGGGTGATTATTTCTTATTTATTTAAAAATTTTCTCTGCCACCTCTCCAGGGAACCTGCCAAAAGCAGCTTATAAAATAAAACATAATAAATAAATACAACACCAGAAATTGTTAATTAAAACCCAGCTAGAGCACAATGTGCAGCTTAAAACTTATATAAAAAATAATACCCAGGCTATAAGCAGACTTGTTAGAAGATCAACCTTTAATTAAATGACTGGGTTAAAAGAGCTGTTTTGGCCCAGTGCCTAAGACAAAGTAGGGTAGGCACAAATTGAGGGGAAGGGCTTCCCACAGGTGAGGGGCTACTGCTGAAAAACCCGTCATTTACACAGTGGGAGAAGCCAACCAGGTTAATAGTGATAATGAACAGGGATGATTGCCAAGTAACCATTACAGTACTTGACAGTGGACACATGATTTCATCTTACTGTAAGTTCCATGGGTAATTTTTATTTCTAGCAGGGTGGTATGTAATAGGGATGGGCATGAACCACAAAAATGTGGTTCAGTTCCTGGCTTGTGGGTGAACCAGGAACTGAACCACGAACCCCATGAATTCATTCAGCTCCCATACAAACCAAACCGGGTTCATGAGGTTCATGCACAAAACAGCTGAGCCGCGGGGGCAGCCTGCTCCCACAGCTCAGTTATTTTTGGAGCAGGCTGCCACCGTGGCTCAGCTATTTCCAATCTAAACAACTGAGCCACAGGAGCCCCCATGGCCCAGCTGTTTAAATCAGAACAGCTGAGCCGCAGGGGCAGCCTGTTCTGCACAGCTCAGCTGTTTAAAGGAGCTTTCTTAGACAGGCAGCCCCAGGGGCTGAAAGTTAGTGGAAAGTTTGTGGCAGTTCTTCAGTTTGTGAACATTAGTTCACGAACCACCCAAAATTTGTGACAAACTTTAGTTTGTCAGCCAGTTTGTGCCCATCCCTAGTGTGTAAGGCAAAAATTCAATTCCTGTTGTTTTATTAAACACTGACATTTGTGCATGCCATGCAGGTATCCTAGGAATAGAAATCCTGCCTGAAGATAGGGAGCCACATTAATACTAATGCAAACATGGAGGTTTTACTCAGTATTCATCTACCAACTGCATTTAACTGGTTGTCTCACAGAGAACTGGAAATGACAGCACGGTCTCTCAAAGGAGTGGAGGAAGAGAAGAAAGGGCTTCAAAGTCTGACAGATGCGTTACAGAAAACACTGGAAGTAGGTGTCTGATCTTTTTCCTCTTGATTGGCAACCTTTATGACCTGGTGTCTATGGACACAGTTAAAGAATGAACTCCTAAAGGAGTGGAGGAAGAGAAGAAAGGGCTTCAAAGTCTGACAGATGCGTTACAGAAAACACTGGAAGTAGGTGTCTGATCTTTTTCCTCTTGATTGGCAACCTTTATGACCTGGACACAGTTAAAGAACGAACTCTTGTATACAGAATGAGAACTGAAAACTTTAGAACTCTTAAGGATAAAAAGTCATGATTTTCCTGCATGCCAGAGTTCCATTTATGGCAGGGAGCATGAGGGGCATGTCTTGTTGACTTTTTTCTTTCTTCTGCTCCTTGTAAAATGGATGCTTGGGATTATTTTCCAAAAACTCTTATTTATCAATGTCCCCCCTGCCTTTTTTGTAAGATTAGAATCTGCTATGGTCTTGGTTGCTATCTTTCTTTCTAGCATTCTTTCTTTGCCTGGAACATCCAATGAATCTTTTCCCATCACTACATCTCCACTTGTGAAAACTTAAACAGCTGTTTAGAGGTGGATTCAAAAGGCAGAAATGATGTGCAGAAGAAGAACATGCTGTTGAGTTGCAAGTGACTCACAGCAATGCCATCCATGGGGCATTCCAGGCAAAAGACGAACAGAGGTGGCTTGCCATTGCCTTCCTCTGCATAGCAACCCCCAGCGTTCCTTGGTGGTGTCCCATCCAAGCACTGAAGGTGGCCAACCCTGCTTAGCTCCTAAGCTTTGATGAGCCCAGACTGAGCTGGGCTATTTGGGCAGCTAATGTGCTGAAGCCCTACAATTTTTTAAAAAGTGAGCAAACCTAAGGATTTTTACTGACCTGTGGAATTGCCATTTGGGGAGATAAAGTTTAAAGTTTGTGGGTACTTTCAAAGAATTATTGCCTTGCTCTGTCTCAGAATGATTGCTTCCATTTGATTTTGTTTTCATGATATTATTCTTGCATTATTTAAGTGCAAGGGCTGCCAACTTTTTCCCCTTGACTGGGCATTTATGCCTTAAACAGCTGTGTGACCGACAGAAATTAAACAGCTAAAGTTCCCCTCCCCCCTTAATTTTTGTTTGATAGGAAGATGTTAAAGGCTGAGGAGCCCTGATAGGGGGGAAAATGGCAACGCTAGATAAACACAATTGAATAAACAAAAGGTTTGCTTGAAGTGTGTGCAAGGCTGGGAAGGAGCTTGACCACTGACTGTTTATGTGGCCACAAGGAACTTTCCCTGGAAAAGCAGCGAACCCTGGAAATGCTGGAAGAGAAGAAGAGCCACTTGCAGCCCCAGACCAACGTTGGGGAGCAGCCCGATGCTACTGGATGCCTGCAGAGCAACCTGCACCAGATTGAGGAGAAAATGCACCAGCTACTAGAGGAGAAACTCCTGGCCGAGAAAAGGTGAGAAAGGGGAGAGGTGATAGTGATATTCCAGACAGAGGTGTCATATTGCAAACCTATGGCTTGAAACTACAGGTTAAGTGGTCTGGACAGCAAACACAATGGTGCTTGTGGATGCAGATCTTTCTCAGCTTCCCCTTCTGCTCCCAGGGCATAAGGTCCAGTCGTACACCGTTTATGTTCTCTGATGAAATCAGAGGCACAGCAGCTGTCATAGAGTTTGCCAACTGCAGGTTGGGAATTTTTTAGGGATTTGGGGGTGGAGGCTGGGGAGGGGAAGAACCTCTGTGGGGTACAATGCCACTGAGGCTGCCCTCTGAAGCAGCCATTGCGGCCGGGGGGGGGGGGGGGTTGATGACTGTAGTCTGGAGATCAATTGTAATTCCTGGGGATATCCAGGTCCCACCTGAAGGCTGACAACCCTATGGGTGTTCCTCCTGCTGTCTACTCGCTCTTCAGCACACCTAAAGTTCTGTTTTTTTACAGCAGGCAGGGGACCAGGGACAGAATCACAGCTGCCAAGTTTACTTCTTCAACATATGTTTAATGGTGTAAAGACAATCTCTGGGTTCCGAGATTGTGGTAACAGAAGGCTAGATTGAGAGCTGACTCTCTTTTCTGTTTTTATTTGCAGAATGAAGGAGAACGAGGAGCGTTCCCAAGCACTAGAGGAGGAGCGGGAGTTCTATTCTTCTCAGTCACGGGCCTTGCAGACCTCATTGTCTGAGCTGACCGCTGAGAAGCAACAGACTGAGAAAGACCTCAAGGTACTGGTGGCCAGTAATCAGCGTCTGCACTGGGCTCCCCACGCAACCTCACCTCCTTTATCTCTCTCCCACAGCTGGAGATACCTTCTAATTTCTCTGTAAAAATTACACAGAATAGATGGGTGCTGTGGTGTGTGAATGCAAGGATTTAGGATCTTCCCCTTGCTTCCATCCCCCAGCAGTCCTTTCCAAATGGGGAAAGTTGATTCTGGGCGTGTGGGTCACAAGGCTGTAGTGGTGAGTGGAAAGGACAAGGAATCGCTCTCTCCTCTCTCTCCCATTAGCTCATACTTGCCACACCTAATTTGAGTTCATAAATAGAGGCTACTGTTCTCTCACTGTTTTCCAAAGTTGACTGTCAAGCACCATGAAGCACCTGCCCCTTTAAAGGGATGCCAGTGCCCCAACATCCCAGGATGGTTCACAGGGGTGGAGGGCTGGGAAGTAGCCATGTAGCTAGCCAATATTTTTTACCTCTAAAAGAGAGGGGGGGAGGTCATCACAAGAGACCAAAAATGGCTAGGAACTGTGCAGCTTTCCAGGACCCCTTAAGAGGGGCCAGAGATCAGGCCAAGGGAGACACGACCAGCTTCTCTCTGATGGCTGCACAGAAGAAAAGGTGACAGAACAAGGTGGCTGAGAACCACCCACCCCCACCCTTCATTATGCAGAGTTGGTGGCTGCAGTGAGGAGGAGGCAAGGGATTAACTTATCCTCTTCCATTAGTGGAGCTTTCTGAAAGTACCATTGTACAAAATGGGTTAACATCAACAACTGCCCATAAACAAGCATTCTCAGTTGTGGCTCCCACCTTGTGGAATGGCCTGCCTGAGACGATAAGGAAGACTCCCACACTCCTGTTCTGCAAAATATGCAAAACTGAGTTGTTCAGGTGGACATTTTTGTAAAAGGAATAGGACTATAGAATGGCAGAATGGTTCTAGGTGTTTTTATAGTCTGTGTTTCTGTTTATTATATGTATCACCTGCTTATTGTGTGTATTATCCTGCTCTTAGTACATGGTTTTCTACTTTTGTAATCCCATTTTTTCTGCACTGTTTGATGTATCATAGATGATTCTTTCTCTGCACTGTTTCTAATTTGTCCCATTGCATTTCTTATTATATGTCTGATGCTACTGGATTGCTTTTTTTTTGCACTGTGTCATCTGCCTTGAATCTGACTAAGAAAGGTGGACTATAAATATAGTAAGCAAATATATTAAATAAACAGGAGGGAAGTGGGGTGATTTTGTCCTCGTCCCTCCTCATTGCAGCCCCCCTGACTTGCATGGATTTTTATCCACATGGGTCCCACAATCCTGGAATCATCTTTCCAAGGATCAAAAGAGAGTACAAGGGAAAGGGGAACACAAGGAAAATTGAGGCACCTACTTGCTGTTTGTTGTGTGATCTGGGCCATGGTTTTCTGGGCAGTTTAAGAATCCTAAATGCTAGAAAGCACCTAAATGCCACAAAGCACCAACAGGTATGGCCTATCTGTGCCTCTTAACTGGTTACAACAATTGTGTACCTTTTCAATTCCCTAAGGATTTTGATTCCATGCTGCTCCACAACAGTGTCAGCCACTGTAACACATCCTGCATTTTGTTTTGTCTTTGGGAGGGACTTTTCCTGGTTTCTTTGGTTGGTTGTGGACTGCCCAATTTCCTTCCTGCTCAGGCAGAAGTGAAGGTGCGCATGGACCTGGAGAAACGCCTGCAGGAGGCTGAAGAGGCCCTGCAGAGTCTTGAGCAAGGCCTGAATTGTCTGTATCGGAACAAAGAGAAGGAAGAAAAAATGAAAGCGGATGTCAGCAATCTGAAAAGTAAGTGAGCAATGATTAATCTTGTTTTCTGCACTGCTGGTGAGTGGACTCCACCGTTTCAGCCATTGCCTGAAACAAGATCAGCAACTGGAAGCAGATGCCCGTCATTAGGGATGTAGCGGCAGAAATTGGACCTTGCAAGCCAGTTAGCTGAGTCCTCAATTCCTCAAGGATGTTGCTTGCTGCTATGGCATTTTATATCACACAAGAGTAAAGACAGTTCTAATACCAGGGGTGTCTGGATAGCTCATGAGCTACTGGCAGATTGCTGGCAGCTGCAGAGTAGCTCATGCAGCCCCTTTAGAAGACCCAGAGGAAGAGCATGAAAAGAATTGTTTTAAGCGTTTATTTCATAGGATTTTTCTCTATGCTGTTAGCTGATAGCTTCCTATCAGCTTCTTGGATGGAACAAAACTTGGTATCATGCCATTGGGTCGGAGAAGTAGGATATTTTTTCATTACTCAGAAGTAGCTGCTCAGAAGTAGCTCTCACAAAATGGTTGTTGGGCCCATATTCTAATTAATCATTCCTATATTTTTTGAGATGTTTCCAGTATTGGCTTGCTTTTCTTCTGGGGATCTTTTGAAGCATCAAAGCACAAATCCACCTCCTTCCTCCTACATATCACTTTCCTGACTGAGCCTCAGCTGCTCAGAGAAGACCATTACAGTGGAGGGAGAGTTGTGGCTTTTCTGCTCTGTCTGGGCTTGCAGTCCGAGGGGAGCAATGAGGGAAGGCTAGGGTTTCTTGTTCAGGCTTCCCACCCCATTCCCATTTCAGTCATAGCCCGAATTAAATGCCATAAGAGAGACAGATCTGCTGCCCCTGGTTCATGTGCCTTTGATCTCGGTTCTTAATTTCTAATACCCATTGTCTGTGTGACATGACATCATCCTGCTGTGTGTTTACCTGCTAGCATGAAGTGAGGGTGATGAGACATAGGAAGATGACATCATTTACACATTGTTTGTGTTAGAAAGAATAGAAGGCCCCAAGAGAACCAGAGCTTTGACAGCTCCACACCTCTTAGAAACTGGTTGGCTCACAGGGCCTTCCTGTAATGATAGGGGATTCACATATATTTATCTAACAGGTCATATCTAAATGGGAGTTTCAGGAAGGGGACTGTGTGGTCAAGAGGAGCTAAAGCTTTGCCTACACACTCCACTTCACTGAGCTCTGGTGCTTTCGGCATTGATTTTCTAGCCTGTCACCTATGCTGGGCTGGAAGAGAAGAACATATGAGCCCTGCTGGGTCACACCAGGGGGTTCAGCATCCTGATTCACAGTTGCCCTGGAGGACCAAGAACCAGAGCACCAAGGCCAAGGCATTCCCCTGACGTGGCGTCCTGGCCCTGGCATTCAGAGGCTTGCTGCCTTGAAGCGACTCAGGCCATTGGTCCTGGCCCTGGCATTCAGAGGCTTGCTGCTGAAAGGAATGGAGAGTGCATGAGGCAAATCGAGGAAAGAGATCAGGGTTCAGGTTCTCCTGCCTGCATGCTCTAGTTTTATTAAAATAATACACCTTCCCTACTTTAAACATTAATGGGTAGGCATGTGTATAAATATATATATATATATGAAGCTGCCTTGAAGCGACTCAGGCCATTGTCCGATCAAGTTCTATATTGTCTATTTTGACTGGCAGCAGCTCTCCAAAGTCTCAGACCTTTCACATCGCAAACAGATTCTTTTTTTAACTGGAGATGCTGGGGATTGAACCTGGACCTTCTAGTCTGCAAAGCAAATGCTCTACTACTCAGCCACTATGCGTTAAATGTGTATGAATTCTCCCTGCCCTGCCATCATTACATCTGCTTTGCCTGCAGCTGCTCAAGGGAGGCAACTCAAAGAGAACAAGCTTCTTTTTACAGGCCAAGAGGAGGCCAAGAAGAGATTTCAGTTCAAGGCCATTGTGGCTCTGCAGACTTAGACCTACTCATGGGATGGCATCCAGTTCCTTCCAGCAGTTTCGGGGAGCATTTACTGGTGACAAAAATACTTCAAGGAGGGGAGCTGAGCAGGATCCAGCCAGTTTCTATAAGCTTTTCTGTAATGTTATTGATCATGTTCTGATCTTGTCAGCTTGCTTTCAGTTGAAGGAATGAAGTAAGAGGAGATATTTGTTTGCAATTCTCTCTGTGTTCAGTTTTATGTAGTATCTTATATACTGGGCAGAATCCTGAACAAAGAAGCTTTCCTTTTAAAAGAATGAAGCTTCTGGTCCTCATAGTTTTGGAACTATTCTTGAAAAACATGGCGGAGGTATCTGCAAAAGGCCAGTATTTGGGGGCTCCTTTGCTTTATGTAAACTTGGATACACTACACATCCCTTCACCTGCCCTTACTACCTTTACTAACCCTAGTTTGACAATAGTTCTCTTTCTGACAACACATCTTGTATATTGTAAACCCAAATGCTGTGTTCAACATAATGTATACAAATAGTGCATTTTGTGCAAAATGCACTTACCTGTATTTGGATTTGTTTTCACAAAATTTGAGTTTACTTTCACAGAATTTCAGCTTCCATGGGATACAGTTTGGATTTATTCTTGGATTATTATTGGATTTTGATGCACAATATAAACATGTACTTTCTCCATAATTGTAGGAAAGGAAATACATGTCAGAGCAGAGAGTTGGAGGTCCAAATAATGTGATTTTTTTTGTCACAAAATACTGGTATATTTGAATAACAGTAGACTACAGAAAGCCACTTTGAGAAGGGATATCAGAAATACAAGTAAAAATTTATGAGGATAGAGGTAAAGAGGCAGGAGAGTAAGATCCAGAAACAGCAGATGATGGAACTGGTAAGATTTTGTAAAGGGAAGAAAAAGATCAAATACAGCAGAAGGTAACTTAGGTAAAGTGGGAATTGACATTGCTTTGTTCCTTGAGAGATTTATACAGGAAAGCCAAAGCATGTGTGATGAGAGCATTCTGCACATGTTCAGAGGAACTTTCCTATTACTCTACATGTTCTAGGTATGAGCCATCCCATTCAAAACAAGTTCTGGAGTTCAGCCCTGCCATGTTAAGAGTCCAATTAAATTCTGAATCCATTCCTTTTCTCCTGATATGTCAAAGCTATCTTGCAAAAGAGGTTTTTTTAATATTCCTTTTAAAGAGAGTTTCTGCCCCAGGGAAATTCTGTTCCAGAAACCTCCAAGAGCCACTTAACGGGTGATCAGCAGAACATAAAGGACTAGGCAAACTCCCCTAGCCGAGAATGTTTGCTGATGAAGGGATTTTCTGAGAGATGGCTCTTCATACAGTGGCAAACCTGGCTTTCACTTCATCCTCTGGAAGTAGGGCTCTATGTGTTTGTTCAAAGAAACTGAATCCTGATGCCAAAGAAAGTGTTGTCTGGCACCTGGCTTAGTGAATTTTGTTGCTGATTACCCTGGTGTTCTTTTTCTAGAGTACTGCAAAATGACTTTGACTGTGATGCAGTGATGTCCTTGAAGGCAACTTCCTTTTTTTTATGTTAAAACTAAACTGCAAAATTGGGGGTGCAAAATTCTCAGGTGCACTGTCCTGGCTCAAAGTAGGTTGCAAAGGTTCACATGTGTGTTCTGCATTCTCCCCACCTCCCCCGCATTCTCAGTTATGCCTGCATGGGATTTAGGGACCTCAGACACATGGACAAGACGTAAATGACTAAGTCTTGTGGTTTGTATTTAACATTATTGGATTAAAAATTCACCTTTCAGATGATTGAAATAGAATTTTGAAATGTTCAAAATATTAAGGTCTAGAATCTTTCCAAGTTTAAAATCTCTGCAAAAAATTTTATGTTGGCTCAAGGGGAAACTGGCATGCCCAAGAAACAGTGTTAACTGGAGAGCCAGTTTGGTGTAGTGGTTAAGTGTGCAGACTCTAATCTGGGAGAACCGGGTTTGATTCCCCAACTCCTCCACTTGCACCTGCTGATGTGACCTTGGGTCAGTCACAAGCTCTGGCACAGCTGTCCTTGAAAAAGAGCAGTTTGTGTCAGAGTTCTCTCAGCCCCACCCAACTCACAGGGTGTATGTTGTGGGGAGGGGAAGGGAAAGGAGTTTGTAAGCCGCTCTGAGACTCCAAGTGAAGGGTGGGGTATAAATTCAACTTCTTCTTCTTCTTCCCTTCCTGTAGAATTCTTTGAGGAATGTTTTTTTTCAAGATGCCAGAGATCATGAAGAACTCCGTGTACCTCCAAAAGGCTGCCACCCGCAGAATAAAGAGCTGCCGATTTCACCGCAGAAGATCCAGCAATGCTTGGAATGACCGTAGGTCCCAATAGAAATCCCCTCCCCACAACTGGATATTAATCTCACTAGGTTAAAACAATAGGCACCATATCATCTTTTTTCTCTCTCTCTCTCTCTCTCTCTACTGAAGCCCATAGTAGCCCTGGGGATTAATTCCCATCAGTGTTAACCCTCTTTTCCCCACTTCAGTGTTGGAGCCTTGATCCTAGTCTCCCTCTCCCCTCAAGAGATGCAATCTGATAACATGTAGTTTGTGCTTCCAGATACTATAGTGAAAATGAACACCCTCAGTTTTGAAAAACAAACAGGAAAAAACAAACAGGGAGATGTTGCCTGTTGGAGGGCTTTTACAAATATAAATACAATACCTTTATTGGCATAAACGGAGAGCTTTTCATTTAACAGGAGAATGTTGCAATTGCCCTTTGCCATGCGTTCCTTGTATCTTCTTGTAAGATGGACTTGTGACCAATTCTGTCCATTGTTATTTTTCCAGTCTGGCTACTTTTTAAGGTTAAGCAGGTTTCGGGAAACCCAACATAGCAAACAGCTGGGACCTCAGTGAACATTTGTTTATTCATTAAAATATTTGTACCCCAACTTTCTTCTTCTTTCAAGGCAGTTTACAGATAATACTTAAAACATCACACATTAAAACCAGATAAAACTCCTAACTAACTGTCTTTATGTGTTAAAAGCCACATGTCCCCTTATCTAGCAATGAGAGGTCACTTTGCTGGGGGGGCCTGAATTAGAGGCCTATATGGGCCTAGATTGATTTTATGAGAGCTCTTGTTTTTAAAGTTGAACCAGCTCAGTCTATGCTGAGTATGACTGTGTAATGAGCTGATCACAGGGTTGTCATTCCCCCGTTGGAGGTGGGAGATTCCCTGGTTTTGTGGGCTCCTGCCCACCCAGAACTAATGTAGGCATGTCGGTGACGGTCTGCTTTTTAGGCAAAACTGTGTGGTTTGAGGCTGATTTTACCATACAGTTTTGCCCAAACACCAAGGCGTCATCACCAATGTGCCTATGTCACTTCTGGGTGACGTAGGCACATTGCGTGACAATGCTTCCGGCTCCCAGAATGTTCCCCCCATCCCCCTGCCAGTGTTTCTAGTGGACCTGGCAGCCCTAGCTGATCACATCAAACCCAAACAAGGTTTCCCTCAAGTTCTGTGTGGCCACCTTATAATGACTCACACCAGGGGTCATTTCGTAGAAAAAGAGCTAGGGGAACTCATTAGCATAACTCATTAACATATGGCACACCCCCTGACATCACCGGAAGTGTGTCATAAGGCCACACACCCCGCCCCCAACGGTCCCGGCCGCTGCCGACGGCCTTGCAGCTCCACTGCCAAGCCCCATGAGGGGCCTGGCGGTGGACCTGCAAGGCCAGCGGGAGTACAAGGAAGCCCCGCGAAGGCCCTCCCTGGCCCCAGGCAGGCAGGGGTGGGGAGAGGCAAGGAGGAAGCAACTTACCCTCCCTCTTCTTCTGCCTCCTCCTGGCTGAATGAGGGCCGGAAGCGGGGCGGCAGGAAGCAGGGGGTGGGGCTTCGTCATGTGCCCCGCCCCCGTACCTCACCCGGGGGAACTGCGATCCCTCGCGATCCCCCCGAAATGACCTCTGACTCACACCCAGTTTCATGTCACTGGCATAAAGGGTGGTAAGTGGGAAATTAGCATGCTGCATGGGGGGAACACCACAGGTCTTATGTTAGCTACTTCTTCTTCAGACCGATTAAAAGTTTTGAAAGAATATGTTACTAATCACACTAGAGCACTCCCTTGATTGGTTGCTTCAAACAGAGCTTGCATAAGACATTTTAATGCCTGAGGAGTAGGGTTCCTATGTGCCCACTCCAGTGGCCAGCAGGAGAAAGGCAAAAAAGAGGAAAAAACACTGTCAGAGATGATGTGGCCATAGAATTTTTGATTATTCCTAGAGAGGACAGATATCACTTCCAGGTTTTTCCAGAAGGGACGTCAAGCTTTCACTTACAGCCCCTTCCATTCCTCCATCCTGGTCTTCTACTGGTTGCCAGACCAGGCCTGGCAACCGTATGAGAAAGGAAATCCAAATTGTATCTCTCCATATGCACATTCACTCCATAGCGGTAAAAATATAGTAGAAATCAAAATTACAATCTTTGCCCTTTAAAGGTGACCACAAAATGTGCCACCTGAGACTTTGCTTCAATACTTAACCTGAAAGTGAGTCTACTGAATTCATTTGGCTCACCTAGAGATTCTAACACTGAAACTGAGAAGATATCCAGATTCTGAAGGGCTTATGTGTGTCCATATGGCTGGATGAACTAATCTTCACTCTGTAGTCTTAGCACTGAATGATATCTACACTTTCTTTGTGGAATGGAACTTGGCATGAGAGCTTCTTTGTTCAATGCCACAAATGCTTTTAGTAGGCCTTGGGTCAGGTCTGGTTCTAGTGTGAATATTGTGTTCTGTTGTTTCAGTGCGGCAGTCACAATCATTCATGTATTCAGAGGCTGAAAGCATAGAAGAGCTGAAGCAAGCTGCCAAGAAGCTGAGCCAAGACCAGCACTTCCGGGAAACCATCTATCAAATCATGACATCACGTAAAGATGCCTCCTTAGGCAACAAAAAGTGAATACTTACCTCCTCTAGGGAGAGTTTCTGAACTCATCTTGTCATCATAAAGCTCAGCAAAAGCCATATTATTGCAACAAAAGTCAGCATTGGGATGTCGGCTGACCATCTGTTTTTCTTCTTCTCAGGCAATGAGGAGAGGGTGAATGAGGAGATGGCCATTCTCCATTGTGGCTAGCTGGCCACCATTCCTGGAGACTGATGACCTGTTCTGCCCAGCATACCTTGTCTCCTTTGCCATCTACTCCAGATCACATCAACTAGTTCCATTAAGAGGTGTTTTGTCAAGTTTATTCAGTCAGTGCTAAAATGAACCAAATACTTTAACTTGGACCAGTTCTTTAAGACTAACAATAACTGTTCACCAAGTGGTAACTTACCGTGGTGGGTATCTAACCATATAACCACATATAGTCATCAATATTATGGTGACAAAAATGGTATCGTTCCTCTGCTTCCTTAAATTTTTGATTGGGTGCAGGTGTGTGGTGAAATGCTCCATCACAAGTGTGGTCTAGTGATGCTACCAGAGTTTATACCCCATGTGTTTATAGTATAAGCTTAAAGTGCTGTCTCCTCATTTCCTTGCTTGTTCCATCATCAACTGAAATGTGGTGCATGTTGGAAAATATAATTCCCAGGATGCCTGACTTTAACATGTCATATCTCATGGGAATTACATTTCACAGTATGCCTCGGTTGATGATGGAACAGATAAGGCATCAAAGTAGATACAAGGTGGGAGAGTCTTCCTGCCTGACTGCCTGCAACCCACTGCCCCTGCAGCAGAACAGCCAGTAAGGTGATTTGTGGTTGGAGACTTTAGGAACCCTCCTGAGGAGTTCTTCTTCCCACCCCCAGCATGCATGATGAGGCTCAAGAAAACCCAAACAATGTCCCTGTTTACTGATACATAGCTTGGATTATCTGATTACAAGGCAAACCCTGGGTGGCATTTTTATGAGGGAATAACAGTGCTATATTAAATGCTCTGTAGAACTCCTATTTCAGTTTCACTTGCAGCTGAATGTGGAAGAGGAATCCTTCACCTTTGCATAAATGTTGTGTAAAACCATCTGTGTTCTCATCTGATAAAAACAATCTCTTAAATTTCTACTTGTCTTCAGAAAGAAGAAGAAGAAGAAGAGAGAGAGAATAAGAGTCCTTAAATATTCCTTGGTGATTCTGGGTTTGCCATCTTCCTAGCAAATGTAAACCCAGGTCTTGAGTCCACCTCTGCAGAAATAGGATAATGAAGTACTGTAAACCTTGAGAGAGAAACTGATCGGGGAAGGGATCGATAGTCCATTGTTCACACCTCTGCAGAAATAGGATAATGAAGTACCGTAAACCTCGAGAGAGAAACTGATCGGGGAAGGGGAAGCAGGCACAGAATTTGCCAGCTTCCTCGATAGTGCATTGTTCAAGCTTCTTCACAGATTGTGTCATGCAAAATGATTGGCAGGGAATTGCTCAGCCACTAGATCTTTGTTTGTCTTGGCATTGTTTAATATCAGTAACTAGAAACTGGAGCAGAATAATATTTGTGCTGCTGCTCGGCAGAACCAAAACAGGACTTTTCTGAAACACAGGCACATCAGTCGCTCGTCTCTTTCCTCATCGGTGCCATCTAATGGGGGGACGGGACCCAAAATGTTTGATAGGTCTCTCAGAGAAATAGGGATCTTAGGTCTCTAGCAATTATCATGAGATTTGAGAAACATTCGCTCCCTCTAGTGGCACTTGATAACAACACAACTGCTTTACAGGTTATACAATAAAATGACATTAAACTGCACTCATAGATTCTAGTTGTTAGTGACTATTGAATAGCAGGATCATTTATGTCAGAGTTGTTCCATGAGAAACAAGCAATGCCTTCATCTTAAAGCACATGAAGGGGCTTAATTTTCTCTCCCAATCTCCTTGGGGCTACTAAAGATGTCATATTCATGTTGAACCCAAGGTTCCTCCTTGACTGAAGAAGAGCATGTGTCCAGTGTGGGATTATACAGTATGTCAGAGTGGAGTGGTGTCTGTGTTAATGTGAACAGATAACAGTACTTTTATAAACAATAGCTATTTTATGCAGTTATGGTTCTTGATCAGACAACCTAAGACATATGGGTTGGCAGTTTGGCATGTAGCCCTGTGGCAGAATGTACCTTCTCTAGCCTGCAGGCCCCGTTCTACCCTTCCCTCCTAGGGGTTCCCAACTCCCTGGAGGGTCTTTTCATTTACTCTCAAGTAGCCCGCTGCCACCACCTGATCAATTTAGGGATTCCCCACTGGGATGATTGGAATCTCCAGCTCCCCTTCTAAGCTCTGAGGCCTTGCCTTTGTGTCTCCTGCTTTCCTAATGCCTGGCTACACCAGGAGCAGTTTACTGCCCTGGGTGCCCTTGGAGGAATAGCCACTTGCCAGCTCCCCTGGAGCCCCTTTTAAAATAGCATGTCTGATATGGTCGAGGTCTATGTGGTACAGAGAACCACTCCCAACATTAAAAAGAAAATCTTTACAAGCATACTTTTAGCACAGCACCAGATTTGAACAAGAAAGACAAAAAAAACTGGTGAAAACGCACAGCGTCTGTCCCTTCTCTGTGTATCTACTACTGCTCTTACAATTATCACCTTGAGCAGAAAATAAAATGATAAAAGCTTTATTTAACATTATCTCCCTGATATTTAATTATTGCCCCTATAAATTTTGCCACAGAAAGAGTAATGGAATTCTTTGAATCTGATAGCAGCCACATCACCTGAGCTCTCATATTAGGTAGTTTCATATTTTTAAGTAGAGAGGTGATAAAACTAGCCCATCTCTGTCCCTTCTCTATAGATGCCCTAGCTTAGTGTAGTGGTTAAGAGTGGCAGACGCCAATCTGGAGCACCAGGTTTTATTCCCCACTCCTCCACACGAAGCCATTCAGGTGACCTTGGGTCAGTCACAGTTCTCTCAGAACTCTCTCTGCCCCACCTACCTCACAGGGTGTCTGTTGTGGAGAGAGGAAGGGAAGGTGATTGCTTCAAAACTCCTTGTATAAAACCAACTCTTCTTCTGATGGTAAAATCTAGGACAGGCTCTTTAGCTTAGCTAGTTACAGGTCTACAAAGTTGCTATTACCTCACAGCATCCTTCAGCCCTTCAGGCCAGCCACATGGTCAATGGCCGCCTGCTCAGAGGAGAGTCTCTGTGCGTCCTGTTTCCTGTTGAGAGCTGTTTCCTGTTGCAAGGAGATTTTATCACCTCTCTCTCCTCCCACTTGACCTGGTCAGCCCAGGTCAAGGAAGCATCTCCTCCTGCTTGGAGTGTATCCCTGGGGCTGTTCTAGCCTACAGTCTTCCAAAATCTGTTCCCTACCTGGAGAGGGGGGGGGAGAGAAGGGGGAGGCTTGGTCCTCCCATTGTCTCTAGCAAAGACTCATTAGCATTTCTTGTGAGTCTGTAAAGCCATTGACGGGCTTCCTCCTTCCCAGCCATTCTCTGCTCAGAGAAAAGAAAAAAAAAACTTTTATTGAAACCCCACCGAAGTGGTCCCTATTTATCTACTTGCAATTTCTTGCTTTCGAACTGCTAGGTTGGCAGGAGCTGGAGCTAGAGACAGGAGCTCACCCTGTCTTGCGGCACCCGGGTCTTGAACCGCTGAACTACTGACCTTCCACAGCCTGCAGTTCAGTGTCTTAACCACTTGAGCCACCGCAGCTCAAGCTGTAGTTTTAGCCTACAGTCTTCCAAAATCTGTTCCCTACCTGGAGGGGGGGGAGAAGGGGGAGGCTTGGTCCTCCCATTGTCTCTAGCAAAGACTCATTAGCATTTCTTAAGAGGTGAGTCCGTAAAGCCATTGACGGGCTTCCTCCTTCCCAGCTATTCTCTGCTCAGAGAAAAGGAAAAAAAAAAATTCTTTTATTAAAATACCAAGTGGAGGTTTACTGCTTGCCAACCTCTTAGGAGAAAATGCATTTCATCACAAGCCCAGTAAGGCTTTTACCTATTTTCCCTCCTTCCACTCCGTGTGGGTCACCACACCTGGGTGGGGGGAGTTCTGAGGCCTAGTGCATTCAGGGTGTGTTTATGCTTGTGTGCATGTGTGTGCGTGAGAGAGATTCTTGCCAAGTTGGATATAGTCTGTGTGCCTTGCAGAGCCTGTCTCCTTTCTAGATCATTACAGTACCTTTAAAAAGAACACCCTATTCATATTGTGGCCTGTGAGGAAACCAAGACACACACAAAACCCCCCACAGTTCCAAAAGAAGTGTCAGAGCTCCTGAGAGCTCAGGAGAAACATGAGTTGTTAGGGATCTGTTTAGTCATGCAGGTGTTATTCGACAAAATTCATTCGTCTTTGGCTGTTTTGCCTGCAGTGGGGCTGTAGAGTTCTAGATGTGAGAGATATACCATCAGGCCACAGGACAGTCAAGAAAACTCCACAGTTCATAGTCAAATATTTCAGTTGAGAAGTCATGGCCAAAGCATGATTTGTCCGTCAACAAAAGTATTGCAGGCTCCTCCCCTTGCGCTCACTGATTCCTTCTTGCACCATGCTTGCCTCCATGCCCAAATCAGAAACCATGGCTTGAAGTGACCTTCCAGTTATGATTATGGTCAGTGGTAACAGAAGTTTGCCCGATCTGGACTTTGCAGTACGCAGTGGGTACTGAGAACCAGCAAGTAGAGGAGGGAGTAGCATGTGTCTGTTCCTGGTTTGGTGATGACATGTGACTTGGGCCGTGGTCACACTGGAGACATTCCTTGTCTGATCTGATTAACCATTTAGGTTACTTGAGTGACACATGACTGTATCTGGACTCTTAAGTTCTGCCTCTGACTGTTCCTGACACAGCTGCAATCTGCCCATCGCCTAGTGGCAAAGGAAACTGAGAGTTGCGACGAGGGTGGAGAGATGGCAATTGCAATCATAGCATGGGCGGCGGGGTGGGGGGAGAGAGAGACTGGGCTGTTCCATTGACAGTGTTGAGTAAAAAATAAATATGGAGTTATT